ACATTAGCTGCATTAGCTACATTAGCTGCATTAGCTACATTAGCTGCATTAGCTACATTAGCTGCATTAGCTACATCAGCTAAATCTACGACACAACAGACAGGCAGCACCAACAAGAGCAGATAATCCGTAATAGCTGGTTAAGCCAATTATACATTTACGACTGTTTGGAGGATGTGAAGACACCTAATGAACTAAAATCATTAGAAAATAAGGGTACTTGTAGGTTTGATGTAACTCAATTTGTGTTAATTCAACAGGCATTGACAAAGCAAAATGGACACCCATACTAAAATGCTGCCCTACGTTCACTGCTTCCTGTTACACACCCCCCCCCCCCCCCGACACAGTCTGAAAGGCACTGGCATAAAATATGGGGAGGGAGGGGGTTATATCCCCCCCAGTAATGAAAACTAGCCAATACAACCCCCTGGACCCCCTTAAATGGGTAGAGACTTCAAATCCCCCCCCCCAATGCACAATACAAAGGTATACCCTTGCCTGGAGGTCTAATTCCCTGGAGCCAAATTGCCGCGGTTATAGCTGCCCCTTGGGCTGGAGAACCTAGGAGCGGCTCGAGCGCCGGGGAGGAGTTGCTCTGGGGGTGTAATTATACCCCATGTCTGGCCAGGATGCAGCAAGTGCTCAGCCTGCTAGGGCCACAGGAGGAGGGATTAGTCCCAGCGTCCAGAATAACAGAGAAAAAAAGAGATTGAAACGGCTTGGATAACTGAGGAAGGCAGGCTATGCATCGCCCTCTTTTTTGTTATTCGTCATTCTTGATCGAAACTTAAAGAGGGGCGGCAAACGGAGGCATTTGCGGTTGGACGTTGAACACAGAGTGGGCAGTTTGCTGGAGCTCATAATCGGAACCTCAAGCCCCTCAGGGGAAACGGATAGGAGAAAGAGATTTCCTGTGAGACAGGATGTGGCCGCCGTCCCCGTGACGTGGCCTAAAAACTCAAATTCACCTAAGTAACGTGGTGGGGTGGGCTGCCCGGGCAAGATATTTTAGAGTTTAAAGAAACCACCAGCAGCTCACCAGCGGTGCATTTCAGTACAGTCCTGAGCACTGACCTGTTATAGCCGTTGAGGGAGAACGCCCCTTGTGGTGAGGGGGAGGTACTGCTCTTAAAGTAATACATGCAGCCCTTGTGAAGGATGATGAAACGGAGGGGCCCTGGACAAAACCAGAGGTCATAGGCAGACTTGTCAAACAGTGCATTATTATAGATATACAATACTGATGTCTATGGCTCATGGGCTGACTGACCCAGTACAGTGCACATCAATAAGTGTTAAAAGATGACCTTGACAGGGAATTAAAAAGTGCTGTCTGGATTTGGGTATAAAGCAAACAGAGGATCGTGTAAAACTCAGCAGGGGTAACATTATGATTGATGTTAATTATTACAGTGTTCATTTGTAATTCAGGCAATAATTACACACTGAGTGGTTTGGTTTGGCTTAGACGTTTAGTTCCTCCTTAAACGGGAAGAACCTTGACCTTCTGGTCACAGGTGCACTTCTTCAAAATAGTGTGCCGGCTTGTGAACATCCCAAAACTTGGGTGTCAGCATTATAGTTACTCCTCAGACCATGAACCGCTTGGACAGCAGCGGTCGCCACGGTGACTCACATTTCATCAGGCTGAACTGACTGCCGCCCTTCTTATGGAGGTATCCGGAGTGTGACACGCCGCCCGGCATGGTCAGGAGGTTCTGGGCGCCGATGGCCCTCATCGGGGTGGGCCAGGGTATCTGAGAGGAGGCCATGTTTCTGAGAGAAGGGAGAAAAGCTCTTGGTGTTAATGCAGCATCCTACAGCAGCCGGCAGCCTCAAAAGAAGCATCACACATTCACACATGCTTCTCAGAAATGGGCTGGACAAGCTCAGCCCCTCCCTTTAGGAGAACAGCGTTTACTGTCGGCTAATTTCAAGTTTCAGGCTGGGAAGCCCTGCCTATCCCCACCCCACCTCACCACCACCATCAGAATGTCCACTTTCAGCAACTTAAGCCACCCCCGCAAATGTTCCTGCAACACGGCTAGACTGAAAGGCTTTCAGGAGAAGGACCAATCAGGAGAAACAAAGCACCCCCAGCACGCTCCACTCTTCATACTGCTTGAGTGCCTAAACCTGCTCATCTTCCTCAAACCCACAGGCATTCGCTCCTCTCCAGCCGCCTCACCACAGCCCCCATCCCTGCCCCCCTCACCTTCTCTTCACCCGCCTCCCAGGCGCCACGATCGCGGATCTCTCACCAAACATGCCGGACTGTCAAGCTGGCCGCGGACGGGAGCCAGTGAACTGACGGGATCTGGAGCACGTCGGCAGAAGCCTGCCGGCAAAGCCTTGACCCCACCCATGGAAAAAAGAGGAAGGAAATGGGATGTTTTGCCCTTCTCCGAGCACACGGTTTCCTGCCCCTGCAGCCATGACCCCCCGGGATGGAACAGGAATCCAGAGGCAGACTGAAAGCAAATGATCTGCGCGATGTGGTCCCTGCAGGGTGGAGCAGGAGGCTGAATGGGTGCCAGGGGAGAACGACGCCAGTGAGGATCACAGGGAACTGCCCAAAGGAAGATTAAATCAGCAGCTGCATAACCGGAAGATGCTGGCTGTCCAGAGCATCTCAGATAGGCAGAGGGTGTGCGTGTCTGGGCACAGGCTGGTCCTGCAGACCTCCTGGTGACCCCTATCATTAGACCTTCAAAGCACAGGGTGACTGGTCAAGACGAAAAACAGCCAGAGAGATTTAAGAATCAACTCTGAGGTGCACCAGGACAGGATGGAAATAGAAAGTCACCCCCGTCTCTGGTTTGTATGCGGAAGTGGTCAAAAGTTACAGTGGTCCAAAGATCAGCAGAGCGGTGTCTCGCTAGTACATATGGCAGCGGTCCACCAGCGGGGGTCTGCGGACGCGCATTCTGGCAGGTGAACACGCAAGCGGAGTGTGATCTGCCACACGTTTGCAGACTGTAACCAGCGCCACTCAGCGCGGTCACCTGAAAATGCGACTGAAATTCGGCTTCTTGTAAATGCCTCTGCTTCCTGCCAAGCATGGCGGCTGAGAGGTGGAGGACGGTCAGGCCTCCATCTTGGGCACCTTCATCCTTCAAAATCAGGGTTGCGAGATACTCTGAACAGGGTTCAAGGGGGATGGGGGAGACATGTACCCCCCAATATTTAATTTGATTAGTCTCCATCAAATTAATGGATATTTAAAATATTGCATTTAATATATAGTTGTATCCCCCCCCAGTATGGGACTCTTTCCTACGCCTCTGTCTTCAAATGCTGAAATGAGTGAAACTGGCACTAAAAAAAGTGAGGATCTATAACGAACACGGAAGCTGAATATATGAAATATCTCACAGTAATTATTTTCAATAGTATCATTATCTTCAGTATCTGAGGATAATTTCGGGGAAGGTCTTATAATAAGCTGGATGGGTCAACTGCTGTAAGCGCTGAAGTGACTGAGCATTTTCCTCATCGCACTTTCTGTAATTGTTGTTAATAAGAAGATCAGATACCCACACATTCCCTTCACACACACACACACACACGCAATACCAGGGGCGGGGGGGCCATCCTCTCACTGGCGCGCATTCCCGTGCTGTACACACGCGTGCCCGCTTCCCCGTGTCTGTACACACGCGTGTTCCCACTGTCTCCCTTTATCTCGTTTGTAGGTAGACAGAGTGAAATGCACGCATGCCTATTAGCCTGTACATGGCCTTAATTTTTTTCACTTCCACAATGACCTACCGATTTAATAAAAGATAATTAACTCAAACACGGATGTCACTCTCTAACACATTTTATTCACAAGCATGTATCCTTGCCGCACTCGCGACTTCACGCACTCTCTCTGTATTCCGCCGTTGCGGGTTTTGGGTCCTGAAGAAGTTGAGAACTGAGCTGCCGTAAATTGTGCCGGATGCAGTTTTGATCACACGGACCAAAGCGGTAAGCAATAAAGAAAAAAAAAGCAACCAGGAAAAAGCAAAGATCACAGTGTTCTTTCAAATAGCAAGCAATGTACTTAGATGTAAAGTCTATACAGGCTTAATATTTACATAGCCTGTGTTGGATGCAATTGTCAACATAATTTTCCTATTTCTCTGATAGACAAAAGAAAACTACTCCGTCTAAGTCTGACCTAACGTTAAATTATGCCTGTTATTATAAAGCAATAGATCCATGAATGTATCCAAGCATAATATGTAACATTACAGTATATTGGGTCTCAGTAAATTCAATCTTGCAAGAAATTCTAGAGAAATCTGTTGTTTTTGCTATTGACTAACAGACCATTTGTAGGTGATTGGCAATTCCATACCAGACAAAACTGTATCATTGTATGTATGTCGGCCAGTGTCAGTCAAAATGTTTAATAACCTATATTAAATCACACCGAATGCCTCATCAAGCACGGCTGGATAAGCTTGAGTTGACACCTTTTGCTCACAATTAGGTTGTCCCCATTTAAAAAAAAAATCTCTCCTGCACTCCTGCACAATACGGTAACAGCTCCATTCTGTTCAAATGAGCCATTTCAGCACTTTGCCACAAACTGCATTGCCATTGGCTTTCTGTGTGACCAAGGGCACAGAGCGGGTAAACGAGAGGTGTCAGACCGTTTGGAGAATATCCACGGCCCACAAGAAGAAGTGAAATGAACTTAAGCCATAAAAAGTATGGCAGTTTCAGCCAGAGCTGGAGAAAGACAGGAACAGAAAAACGGTAAATACAAGGGTGATAACATACAGTACTATTTCAGATATGCAGTACTTTCAGAGTACTGTTACACGTCATGTACAGTATATTCAGTACTCTTACATATACTGTACACTCACTAGCCACTTTATAAGGTAAACCTTGCTAGTACTGGGTTGGACCCACTTTTTCCTTCAGAACTGTCTTAATTCTTTGAGACATAGATTCAACAAGGTGTTTGAAACATTCCATGGAGACATGATTGCATCGCCAGTTGATGCAGATTTGTCAGCTGCATCTTCCTGATGTGAATCTCCCGTTCCACCACATCCCAGAGGTACTTTATTGGACTGAGATCTGGTGACTGTGGAAACCTTTTAAGTACATTGAACACATTGTCATGTTGAAGGAACCAGTCAGAGATGATATGAGCTTTGTGACATGGCAAGTTATCACACTGGAAGTAGCCATTAGAGGGTGGATGTATTGTGCTCATAATGGGATGGACATCACTAACAATACTGAGGAAGGCTGTGGCATATGCATGACGCTCAGTTTTTACTATGGGGTCAAAAGTGTACCAAGGAAATATCACCCACACCATTACACCACAGCCTGAACTGTTAATGCAAGGTGGGATCCATGCTTTCATGTTGTTTACAACAAATTATGACTCTACATCTGAATGTCTCGGCAGAAATTGACAGTCATCCCACCAGGCAACATTTTCCCAAACTTCCACTGTCCAATTTTGGTGAGTCCGTGCCTGATGTAGCCTGAGCTTTATGTTCTTAGCTGACACGAGTGCCACCCGGTGTGGTCTTCTGCTGCTGTAGCCCGTCTGCTTGTTTGACGTGTTTTGCAGACCTTGGTTGTAATGAGGCTATTTGTAATGATGGCTATTTCAGTTACTGTTGCCTTTCTATCAACTTGAACCAGCTTGAGCCCTCAATGCACAACATTAAATTTTGGTCCATAGTGTTTTTTTGCCCTGTAGTATATATTGTACAGTACAGTTACACATATATGTACCATATTGTTAGAGTCATAATGTTATTATTGTTACACATATAACATGTAGCACTGCTAGGGTCATATTATCAGCACTGTTTTCAAATATAACATGCAGTGCTGTTAGACACACAAGGTCTGTACTGTCACACATATATCGCATGTAGTGCTGTTACAGACGTAATTCATGGTAATGTCAGACAGACATGGAACTAAGTCATGTAAGCACCATAAGTCACAAGTCACAAGTCTAACCATCAAGTCTCAAGTCATGCTTCTGAGAATTAATCACTCAAGTATAGGGTGGTGGCCTAATGGTTAGGGAAACAGACAATTGGAAGGTTACAGGTTCGAATCCCTGATCAGTAGAGTACCGCCCCCAAGCACTGAATACAAGTCTAAATGCCCATTAAGACGTACAGTGATCCGATCACTCGAATCACGCATTTGACCGCATATCTTTTGTGGTGTAAATGTTAATGGATCTTAATGTGTCCCTGACAAGGATGTCACCATAAATTACATCAACAACACTCATACCTTGATGGAATTCATGGAAAATAGTGCATTATAACTGACAGTTATCAAAGAAAACAAGTGTTTAGGCTTTATCACGATACGATATTCAAATTGATGACAATGTGAATGTTCATAATCATGATACGATATTATATCAGTGTTTCGCCCAGCCCTAATATCAGAACACTGGAACATTTAACGTTAAAGTAACTGTAGATTACTGCTAGTTTAACCTGTTTTTATGGGTCTTGAAATACTTTTCCCACGTTTTAAAGAATCCTGTCTTTTTTACTTCATCTGCATACAAATTTCAGTAACCAAAGTTTAGTATTTTTGGTATTGATGGTGCTATGGATACTTATTGCTGGTGCTCTGAACTGCCTTCACTTGGTGAAATCACTTGGTGAAATCACTTGGTGCCTTGGACTGTTGTGGCTCCTGTCATTTATGGGCTCACATGGTACAGCATTCTTGAGGTTCGGAGAAGAGCAGCCAGAAACACAATTGTGGAGCCAATGATGAAAGGCGAAGGTGGAACCTAATATTAATTGCAGTGGTTGAATGTTTGATTTTACAAGTCATTTATAATAAGTCTAAGTCAAGTGTCAAATCAACAAAATCCAAGTCTAAGTCACTCAGTCTTTTTCATAAATTGGCAAGCAAGTTTCCATTCTTAAAAACTGGGACAGGAGTCTGACAGATATAATGGGCAGTACTGTTGGAGTCATAATGTCAGTACTGATACAGATATACAGTACTGTAAAGTCATAATGTCAGTACTGATACAGATATACAGTACTGTAAAGTCATAATGTCAGTACTGATACAAATATACAGTACTGTAAAGTCATAATGTCATTACTGATACAGATATACAGTACTGTAAAGTCATAATATGCAGAATGTTAAATTCACAATATACCGCATATCAATGAATTTTAGCAGTAGTTTTACTTCCAAAATGGTGTCACTTCTCAAAAAAAAATCTTCAGAACAGGGCAATGATAGCATGTCCCTGTTTGATCATAGATCCACAGCTTATCATCTTATTTCAGGGACCAAGTTTCTAGTGATCTGCCAGTGGAGGGACACACACCGACTGCAGCGGGTCATGACTCCTGCGTGCGTGTCTGGTAGGGTGACCCACAGGAGCGCGCTCTGTGTGGGCTGCGTCTCCACCCCTCTGCTGTGGGAGTTTGAGTTCAGCTTCTATTTCATACTTGTTCCTCTTTTGCTTTTAGTCTCTTTCAGACACATTTGGTTCCCTTTCTTTAGTGGAATTCATATTTCCATGGGTAAACTTCAATTTCCCCCTTGTCTGTTTCGGTCAAGTGCCTCAATCGGACTTCTCCGAGAAGATAATAGCTACTTTCCCTTTGTGTCACTTCCTGTTTGCTAACTGGACCCAGCTGCTCCCTAAACAAGCTTCCTTAGCCTGACTATAGTCATACCGAAACTAAGCAAAGATAAATCTGAAAGCCCCAATGATAAAACATTTCACTGCCCTAGCCTGCCATAATGTGCAAAAATGCAACATTTCTCTCAACAGTGACATTTCTCTTTGGTTTTTAATGTACTTGCTCCTCAGGCTGCAAGAAATCATTAAAAAACAGTGTGTGTAGACTTTGCTTTGCATCAGTAAGATGGATACCTGTCAACACAATACACACTCCTTCATGTTACAGTTTTCGATAGATCGTCCCCACAACAACATAATTTGTGCTTTACCACATGTTCATGAAATGGCTATTTACTACGCAACATTTTTACTAAAAACCTTGTGCGTTCTGCTCCTCAAGGACTGATCATCAACAGACCCCAGCCAGAGTGAGGACCCCTTTTGCAGACATTGCTCAAGACTCCCACCTCTATTCTGTGCGTGACATTACATGGAGAGATATCACCTTCTCTGTGAACGCTGTGTGCCAAATAAATCAAAAT